AAATACCAGAATCAGGGCGAATGCCATTGTACTCCAAATCAAATGGGCTCTTGGAAAATTTTAGATAAATGTAGACGGGCAAGCACCTCGGGCAGGCGGTGGGCAGCCCAAAACAGGGCTTTCTAACCACAAGCGTTAGTCTCTCTCCTTCCCCTCTGCCATCTTCCATAACTCCCCACAGCGTTTACAGATAACTTTTTGTTTCCTGAGTTGAAATGTTGGATAATGCGACTGTTAAACCCTAATGAGGCCTTTTCGCAATTTTCCTATGTTTTGGGTCCTTTGTGCAATATTTATTTTTCCATATTCAATTTATTTATTTATTTATTTATTTTTTTTTTTTGGTACAAAGAAAGCGGTTATTCATCAACTACATTCCGTGGATAGGAAACACCCCTCAAATCATGCTCGATCCACGGAACGACACCAGAAGACGGAGCAGCGAGTTGGTGACACCCAAGAGCTGTCGAAGCTGCCAAAGTTGCTAGATAGTCTGCCACAAAATTAACCTCATGATAGATATGAGAAATCCGCACCTGCCAGTCACGACTAAGGATCTCGCGTATCCCCAGGACTAACCCATAATGGACCCCTGCTATCTCCTCAGTGTTCATAGCGAATCCCACGACTCGAGAATTGTCAACCTCAGCCACAACCCGACGGTATCCCAGATTCCATGCCAGAGTAAGGCCTTGAAATAATCCCTATAATTCTGCCCCCATAATAGAGCATTCCCCAATCATCATCACAAACCCACCGACCCATGCCCCATGAGAATCACGAAACAATCCACCCGCCGATGCCAAACCTGAGGAACCATTATGGGCCCCATCCGAGTTCACCTTTATCCACGAGTCCGGTGGTGGTTCCCAACATACAAGACGCTGGACCCGAGTAGACCCGGTACTACCGACCTTCCTAGCCCCTTCGACAAAGTGCAATATACTATTCACAAAGGCTCGGATTTCCCTCACCTTCCCAAACGCGTCCACTTCACTACTTTGGAATACCGAAGAGTTTCGCCAGAGCCATATTTTCCACAAAGTAACGCCAAAGGTATACTCCCAAGAGTCATCATCCACCAGGATGTGGGGTCGGTTAAAGAGGTTCGACGTGAGCTATGGGCGGAACTGTAGACAGAAGAATTTCGGCTGCGCGGCCACCGGGACTAAGCGAAGCCAGACCTGGGTTGCAGCCGGGCAATCGCGGAGAACGTGAAGAAGAGTCTCCTCGTGCAGCGGACACTTATGGCAGCGCACCGTCGGGGATAAATGCCGGCGACCACGTTCAACATTCGTCATAAGACGACCCTTGAAAACCAACCAGAGAAACTGTTTGATGCGTTGCGGGCCGGGCCATCGCCATACAGCTTGCCACGATTCCCGATTATCACTCTCATCATTTGCTAAAAAATGGTAGGCCGAGCTAGTGGTAAACTTTCCGTTCTCCGAGGCCGCCCAATAGAGCCTGTCAGCCCCCAGGCCCGATCGAGGCGGCGGCACCGCAGCTATTTTAAGCATGGCGGAAGGCGGGAGCAGGTGTGCGAAGTAGTGCCAGGCCCAACCATGGTGAGCGGAGGCGAACGCAATAACCGGCAGCTTCATATCCTCCGGTGGGACCGGCGACGTAGCGGCGTCATATAGTTGACCCATGCCAGGCACCCAATCATCAATTCAGAACCGCGTCGTCTCCCTATTGAACACCACCCATTTGGATCCCGCCGAGACATGGGGCCAGACCTTCCGAGTAGCTTGCATAGCTTGCATAACCGCTTCTTATATTTATTTAAGTTATTTGTCTTTGGAAAATGAACTGACAAATTAAAAATCCCCCCTCCCCTTTCCCCTCTTTCGGAAAAAAGAAAACTAAAAACCTAAATCGCGCAACTCGTTGCCTTCCCACAGCAGGGCCTTCGGGCCACCACGATGTCGGACTTCACCAAGCCGTACCCCACAGCAGGGCCTTCGGGCCACCACGATGTCGGACTTCACCAAGCCGTACGGTCGGCTTTCTGAGACACGTCGATTGTGGCGGCTGCCTGTTCTTCGGGTGAGGCGGCGGAGCTCGGCCTTGGACTTCGCCTTTTTCTCGGCGCCAAGGTGAGTCTCGATCCGGCGGCTCTTCTGCGTCTAGGCGGTGGCGGGCTTCCGACGAGGTTGAGAGAGTTGGTTGTGGCTCCAATCATCCCCTCGGTGGTGGTCGGGGCTGAGATCTGTGCCGTTTCACTCTCTTCTTTTCTCCCGCTCTTCTCTTCCATAGGTGCCGTTTGGGTGCTTTTGGCGGAGATGGTTTGGGTCTGGTCGTGTGGCCTGGATTCGGATCGTCGGGAGATGGGAAGTGGAGTATGTTGTGATTCTCCGGTTGCGGGTTGTTGGGTGGGCTACCCGGTGAGGGGTCGGGTTCTTTTGTCTCAGATCTGGTTAGGCGATATTTCTGCAGTTTCTGGCTTTGTGGCTTGGGCCAAGTCTCTGGCCGTGTGAGTGGTCGCTTGGGGGTGTCGACATCGTTGGTGTTCTCTTTGGTTTCGCTGTTGTGGGAAGGGCTTCCGTTTATTTTGTTTTGTGTTTTTTAGTTGTGTTTGTGTTTTGTGCGTGTTTTTGTTTTGTTGAATGTGTTATTACTCTGTGGGGGTTGTGTTATTCTTTGGGGAGTTTGTGTATTCTCCTGTGGGGAGTTTNATGAACTGACACGGATAAAATCACGAGCCGATTCAAGGGCGTAGTTACCAGGTTAGTTCCGGGCCTAACCGACGGGCCCGTGGTCATGTGTAGGTAGGAGGGCAGGTATGAATTTGCTAATAATTGAATCCATCATATTTTTGTAAAGAAATGCACGCCACTCATTTTATAGCCACAAAAACTTGAGGATGTTAGGATACAAAACTTATCCAAAAAATCCAAATATTTTTAACTCAATCATTTTTTTTAACTCAACTTTAACTCAACTCAACTATCATTAATATTATTAATATAATTAAATAATATCAACCAATCATTCTTACACATCACATCAACCTTAATTCACTATTTATCCACTTACATAATTTTAACTAACTATCACTTCAAATCATCTCTCTCATACTTTTACATCAAATCAACTTTCATTATTTTATTTTAAATATTATTTTAATATACCCACTAACAACTAACCATACCACTTTTCTTAAAATTAACCAAACCAAACCAAAAAATCCAAACAAATCCAAAAAATTTTATATCCAAGCATACTCAAACAGTGTTACAAAATCAACTTCTTTGTCAATAACAACTTGGTTTCAAATTCTCCTTTTTCTCCTTTCTTTTTTTTTCTTTAAAAAAAATATTTTTCAAAACCGAGGACCACCGACAATCTTATTTCGTGAGATAAATGTAGAAAAATAAACCGCGTAGTTCATGTATCTAATTATAGAAAGAAAAATAGTTCGGAGTTAAGGAAAGGTAACAATCTGTTGAACATATGGGGACATCAGGACATTTATTGCTATTTGAATAGACCTAAGCTTGGACCAATAGAAAATGGACAAAAACATGCTATATAACAAACCATCACCACTAATTTGAGTGTCCCATATGGATCCAAAGAACCAAACCTTCTCTATAAAACAACTGAAAGATCCCTTCTTCAAACACAGCACAACACCCATTATAGCCACAAAAGGAATCACGAGAGCCACACAAAATGACACCAATTCTCCTAGCATCACTGATAATCCTTCCTCTTCTACTCATCCTATGCCGAAAAAGTCGAAAAACTCAGGGCCCGCCAGGCCCACCCGGGCTCCCGTTCCTCGGGAACCTCCACCAGTTCGACACTCGCACCCCTCACATCTACCTATGGCGCTTGTCTTGCAAATACGGGCCCCTTATGTCCATGAAGCTCGGCTCAATTCCCGTGCTCGTCATCTCCTCCCCAAAAATGGCGAAAGAGGTGCTCAAAACAAACGACCTGACGTTCAGCAGTCGGCCCAAGCTCATCGGGCAGGCGAAGCTATCCTACGACCATTCGGATATAGCTTTCGCGCCCTACACCGAGTCTTGGAGGGAACTAAGAAAAATCTGCGTCGTCCATCTATTGAGCAACAAGCATGTACAGTCGTTTAGGCCCGTTCGTGAAAAGGAAGTTTTTCGCATGGTCGAGTATTTGTCGGGAAAGGCGGGTTCGGGCGAAGCTGTCAACTTGAGCGAGACCCTGCTTTCCCTGACGAGCACGTTGATATGTAAGGTCGCGTTTGGGAAGATGGAAGGGCTTGAGAGAAGGAAGTTCGACGAGCTCATGATTGAGGCACAAGTGATGCAGACTGGGTTTAGCTTCTTGTCGGATTATCTGCCTTGGTTCGGTTGGGTGGATAGGATGAGGGGTTTGGTTGGTAGGCTCGATAAGGTTTGTAAGGATTTTGATGAGTTCTATGAGGAGATAATCGGGGAGCGATTGGGTTCGGGTAGGGGCGGGTTGGAAAAGGATCCGAATATTCTCGATCTTTTGATCCGGCTGAAAGAGGAAAAGTTGTGCTCGATTGATTTGACGTGGAATCATGTGAAAGCCATACTCATGGTGAGTGATTGATCTTACTCTTCACTCTTTAAAATCTTCAAAATCTTCAATATCCCTGTATTTATTTGTTTCTTGTTTGTATGCAGAACATATTCATAGCAGGCTCAGAGCCCAGTGTAGCCACAACAGTTTGGACCATGACAGCACTCTTAAAAAACCCAGCAATAATGACAAAGTTACAAAAGCACATTAGGGAAAGTGTTGGAGACAAAGGCAAAGTAAATGAAGATGACTTGCCAAACCTGCACTTCCTAAAAGCAGTAGTCAAGGAGTCTTTAAGATTATACCCACCAACTCCACTTCTACTTCCTAGAGAAACACTTGACAAGTGCACCATAAATGGCTACACTATTCCACCCAAGACATTAGTCTACATAAACGCGTGGGCAATTTCTAGGGACCCTAAGTATTGGGAGAACCCGGAGAAGTTTCAGCCCGAGAGATTCTTGGACACGAATATTGACTTTTTGGGGCAAAATTTCGAGGTCATACCATTTGGGTCGGGCAGGAGGGGTTGTCCAGGGATGGCTATGGGGCTTGTGACAGTCGAGATTTTGCTAGCCAATCTTCTTTACTCGTTCGACTGGGAATTGCCATCCGGGATGAAGAAAGAGGATGTTGACACAGAGGTTTTGCCTGGGCTTACTATGCACAAGAAGAACCCACTATGTCTTGTGCCTAAACAAGTATAGATGCTTTCTATGAGTTTTTCCTTTTTTTTTTTTTTTCAATTGAATGGTCTTGCTGGAGTAGCATACTGTACTGTTGGTGAATAAAATTATATGCAGCTTTGAATTCTATCTGAAGAATGATGAAAAGTAAGTGTGTTATTTGCTATACAAACAACACGAATACATATACAATATGATTCATAAACACCATCCTCTACCTGGTGAGTAATGGCCAAACACAATCATAGTGTCACAAACTATATGGAATAGCCAAATCTCGTCAAATATATTAAAAGATAACACAATGGTAAGAATTGAACTGAACATATAATCTAATTAGCACTCGTCGTATTTTGCCAGCCTATATGCTTTTCTTTGGGCCTGCCCCTACACTAACTCGGGGATCGCCAGCAAAACAGCACATCATGTTTTCTAAAACATCTTAATCTAAGAAAATCCCCCTTCAGCATCATTACACATTCATACGGACCAAATTTTTGTTCGCCTCATTGAAAAACCAGAAATTCGATACAAACTTCATAGCTATCAGCCTATCACATATTCAAATACTAGCAACGACAAAGGCAATTTGTTGGATCACAACAAAAGAACTCAACCCACAATTAAGTAATTATATCAAAACTAGAGTTTCAACCACGGTAGCAAAATCCATAAACGAAGCAAACGTTAACAGCATAAAGCTCAAAAAATGACGAAAACCTAATCGAAAAGTGAGAATCCCATGTCATCATCGCTCTCCTCCTTCTCTTCCTTCTTCTCCTCGGCCGGAGGTGCTTCAGCAGCCGCACCACCACCAGAGGCTGCCGGTGCAGCGCTGCCACCTCCTCCGATAAAGCCACCACGACCTACGCCACCGATGATTACCTGCACAGTTCATAGTCCCGAGAGCAAAAACACACTATGATAGCCGAATGAAGAAAATACCACAAGGAACAAACAAAATCTTGAAAGGAATAAGCCAATAAGAGAGCATTTGCAAACACATGGAAATAAGCATACCCTCGATGGATTGCAGTCTAGAATATGAGAACTGCGTGTTTGTTTCTTTTCTCAAGTGTGTGCAAGCACTCAATAAACAATACACGGGTTGAGGATCACGACGAAATACATAAATTGCTTTTTGTAAATCACCATTTTTCTCCACCAACAAAAGTGGGCATTCCAAAGATGTGATCGTTCTTGAGATTTTTCGAGACATGACAATCACTTCCTCTAACATACTCAAATTGCATCCACTTATGTTTAAAAAAATAAAAAAGAATGGCCTCACATTCATTGAGAACACTCAGCACCCATTGGCAATCACTAATTGCATTTTTTCATCTTTCCATTATTCACAGATCAAATCAACAATCATCGCAATATTTCCGACTCACTCTCAAACCACACCTTGACAATTATACCACATCCTTCCTTCCAAAACATCATATCACAACAAAGCATGTAAAACAAAAACCTCGAGAACGTTAACAAAACCCATAACAATCAAAATCAAGGATATCAAACAACAACCGGAAGAGTTACAGCAACAGATAAAGAAATTACTAATCACAGCAAAGATCAGAAGCTGAACACGAAAACAAAAATGCGAATCGAGCAAAGCAAAACCTGAAACACGCCAGACGAAGGAGTGACGTGGGAGAAGGAAGACTGAACGGCGCCGGACGAGTCGGAGGAGAGAGCGGCTTGAACGAGCTTGCGCTGGAGCTCGAAAGTGGAGGCGGCGGAAGCCTCCAGATCGCCGTTAAGCTGCTTAGCCGACCAGTCGTCGCCGGAAGCTCTGCACACGAAGGTGAACACTCCCATTTTTTCAGGTGACTTTTCGCCGGCGATGCGGAGAGGATTGAGATCCCGAGTTAAGCTGAGATGCAGCTGCAAGTTTGCTCTGTGTGATAAAAAGGGAACATTTGTAGGGTTTTTTTCACTTGACGTGGAGTGACTAATACGCCCTTACAAATTCCCTCTATATTATGTGTGTGTGTTATTTTATGGTGATAGTCTGGGCCTCATGAGTCATGACATACTTTTTGGGCCTAAATAGATGGAAAATGGTACAAGAATGGTTCCATCAAATCATTATAACTCATTAGATCTTCTAGTTTTAAATGAACTTTTAGATGTAGTCAAACAAAAGTGATGTAGTAATTTCTTATTGGAGTTTCGTATAGGAAAATGGTACCAAAATTGGTTTTTTTCGTGAACCAAATTCAGTATTCATTATTAGTATTTCTAAAATTCATATTCTAATAAAAATAGTATTTTACATTCAAATTCTAAAGGGATTTAAATCCAAATATCCACATATTCAATTTGAATAGTTAATAAAAATTAGAAGAAATTACAAATTTCGTCCCATTAGTTTGAGACAGTCGCAATTTTAGTCCTAAGGGTCGCAATTTTAGTACTTAACTTTTTTTTCGTTGCGAAAGTAGTCTTACACCGTAAAAAATAAATGGATATGTCACGCGTGAGTCACGTGGCCGTTGGTCGTTAGTTTGAAAAAGAAAGAAATTGCAAATACAATCTCATATGATTGGTCGGTGTTGCAAATTTAATCTCAAATGTTGAAAGTAAAAATAGTTTTTTGTTTTACTATTTTTTGTTACAATATTTATTCGGTGAGTATAAAACAATCTTTGATAGTATAAAAGTGACCAAAAAAATAATTACTATACAATGTTTTCTATCTTTCAAATTCTTTTTAATTAAATAATAGATATATTCAAAAAAAAAATTTTTTTTTCAAGACAACAGTAATTGATATTATTTTTATTTTTTTAAAATTTCATTAACTTCTACGTGTATATTTTTATTTTTTAACCAACCACTATAATTATAATAAAATTAAATAATTATTTTTAAATATATTTATTATTTAATTAAAAAATATTTAAAACATAGAACACATTGTATTATATTAAAAAAAATAACATAATAATAAAAATATAAATTCAATCATATTTGATCAAATATATCTAAATTTATATTTTTGTTATATTAAAAAATATAAATATTATTAACTTATTTAAAAAATATATATAATTGACCAGTCTGATCAACTAATTCTGATTGGTTCATTGGAAACTAGTTCGTTCAAAGGAATCCAACCATTTAGTTGACTTAGATTCAACAGTCAGTTTAGCCCAATTTTAAAAATAATAGTAGTTGATATTACTTTTATTTTTATTTTATCTTTTAAAATTTTATTAACCTCTACAATTATATTTTAATTCTTCTCAACCACTATAAATATAATAAAATTAAATAAATATTTTGTAAATATATTTATTACTTCACTAAAAATATTTTAAATATAGAATACATAATAATATAGATTCAAATATATTTGAATTTATATATATCAAATATATTTAAATTTATATTTTTGTTATATTAAAAAATATTTATATTTATTAACTTATTTAAAATATATATATATAATTGACCAATCAATTAAACTAATTCTGATCGGTTTATTGGAAACCAATTCGTTCAAATGAATCGAACTGTTTAGTTGACCGATTCTCGATTCAACAACAAGTTCAATCGAGTTTTCAAAACAATAGTAGTTGATATTATTTTTATTTTATGAATTTTATTAACCTATAGTGTTCTATATTTCTAATAAAATTAATAATTATTTTTAAATATATTTGTTATTTAATTAAAATTAATATTAAATATAGAAAACATTGTATAGTAATTAATTTATTTATTTCTCAAAACTAAATTTTTACTATCAAAGATTGTTATATACTCACGGAATAAAAATTGAAACAAAAAATAGTAAAAAAGCTATTTTTTCAACATTTGGGACTAAATTTGCAACACATACCAATCTTATGGGATTATATTTGCAATTTCTTCCTTTTTCAAACTAACGAATAACGGTCACGTGACTCACGCGTGACATATCCGTTAATTTTTTATGGTGTAGGACCAATTTCAAAACAATAATAAGTTAAGTACTAAAATTGCACCACTCAAGACTAAAATTGCAACCGTCCCAAACTAACATGACCAAATTTGCAAATTCCTCTAAAAATTATAACCTTAAAGATCCTATGCTAAAAAGGATAGAATCCTTATTCCATTCGTTCCCTTTAAGAATGGAAAGAAGTATGTTTTCAAGGATAGCGGGTGAACAGGAACGAAATAGGTCGACTGAAAGGAGAGAAAATAACGTAATCAAGGTTTTCACAGTTAATAAAATTTATATAAATTCAATATATTATATAAACTTTTATTCATGTAGTATATTATACATAAACATTTTGGGGATAATAGCTCTAAAATTTTTACAAATTTTTATATGAGATAATCTAATAATTAGACGGATCGCCTACCATTCATACTTAATAAATCATACTTATACAATGAAATATCACTTTTACTCATGTTATTTTTTAAAATATAACATTTTAATTAAATAAGCATGTAAATTCATTAAAAAGTATAAATTTTTGCGCCTGTCTATCTGATCGTTACTGTTAAATTTCAACTCAGTACCTCCTTGTATGCATGACAACATAAGAGTCCACACATATAATCAAATAGATAGTTCCAATTTCAAGAGTATTGTGAAAACAATTACAAGAACCTTTCAACTAATCATAAGCAAATGCCAATACACAAAGTAGTATAGAAAGGCACAAGAATTCAAATTTTTTTATTCTTCTTCGCTCTTGCAACTCAATCAATCATAGATAGCAAACAACATCACAACTTATACATTATCATTTCAATCAATCATAGATAGCAAACAACATCACAACTTATACATTATCATTTTGGGAAGACACCGATCACCCACATTAGAAACCCTACGCTCGTCACACGCTGATTATGAAAAATACACCGATCGGTTAAGAAATTTCGAACATCGGTTAAGAAATTACAAAATAATTTGTGAGCTCACACATGAAAGACTTGGCCAAAGGAAACACTGAGCTTGGTGCATTTTCCACCATTACTACCACCAGATCATTTCGAAATCAAATTCATCTTCAACACTTAAATAAAATTCAAACATATTAGTGAATCATAAGAACAAATACAACAATTCACTACAGAAATCGAATCACATACAAACACAAACATGTAGACGTAAGTATGTACATACTTTTGAAAAGCCAATACAAAATCAAGATCGAGCGACACAGAGAGGGAATGTGGCAGCAAGTGCTATTGTTTGTCGGCTCAAACAACACAAACGCCTTCTCTTCATTACTGAGAAGGCTCGATATTTCTTCAATCTTTATACCACCCAACGAGCCACCAACAGACGTCTATTCTCGAAGCAGATGTTGCTCAAATGCCATGGGAGCCAGAGGTTCTTTAAAATTTGAAGAAACTAGAAAATATACACTTCAATTACAAACTTAATTTCGAACTGTAAAAGGAGTAGAATCTCAAGTACTTATTTATTTCTTATTTTATTTTTTTATGATATCTAAATCAAACAGTCAAGTCAATTTCTTAACTAACGACAATTCGTGTCCGTGACTAAATCCTTTAGATTTGAAGTTCATTAAACAACTCGGCGCAAACTTTGACGAATTTAAAAACCGGGAGTCGGAATAAAGCCTTTTATTATTTATTAAACAAGCATGCAAACCGAGCTGCTCCGCCGGATTGAATCATTGAAAGAACACCTTGATTACAATAGAGGGAAATGGAGAAATTAGTTGTCTAGTCACAATTGATTGTTAAATATTATTAGTAAGAAAAATAATAAAACTTCTACATTTGGGAATTAAATTTTCTATGACAAAAACACATTTTAATTGATATTTTACTCTATGTGTTCATAATAACTCCACAATTATACATGTGTCAATCATGCTAATGAAATAAAAATTTTTAATAAAACAGCTACACTACATAATCAAATCAATAATAGAACTTCAATGTCACAAAACAAATAATCGTCTGCAATCAATCAGTTAATTTTGCCTTCATAAACACCACAACCAAANGAATTAAAAAAAAAAAAAGCCAGACGCCAACAAACATTTGAATGAAATTTTCATTACAATTAAACAAAATATCCAATAGCTGAAATGAAAATCATCATCCTATGTCAATTGGCATCCCCTGAACAGCACCCAATAAAAATAGGGATTTTCAAAGGGACACAAAAATAAAATTAAAAGCCGAAACCAAACATCTCATTGAGCCACCATTAAAAAGCTCTGGTCTCAAGGATGGCTCCCATATGAAAATTACCAAAAAAATAAAAATAAAAATAAGAAGTAAAAACCCTAATTCTAGATAGATGGGCTCAGCTAGTACTTACTGGGCCAACATTGTTTCAAAATTAGCCCAAATCCCTAAATAAGGCTCAAATCGAAAACTAACCGCCGTTGTCAATGGGTCTCAAACCCTAGCACCGCGCAGCAACGGAACGAACGCCTTCGCGGAACCCAAATCCGCATCCGAATCCAAATCCAAATCCAAATCCGCCCCAGAAACCATTCTCACGAACTCGTCCAGGCCCAGCCCGCAGAACCTCTCCTCGTCCAGCTCAAGCAGCCGGATGACGCCGGAGAGGAATCCGGCCGCGCACGCCAGGACCAGGCCGCCGGCGGGCTGGTACCCGAACTCCTCCTCCGCCTGGTCGAGGAGGGCGGCGAAAACCGGGAGGTTGAGGAACCGAGTCGGGACCACGAACCGGCGTCTGTCCAACCCGGCGTAGACGGCTACTGATCCGGCCGGGGTCCTGCGCCGCGGGGACCGCGGCTCGCAGTCGTCGGTGTCCGACGAGGAGGATGAACCGCCGCGCCGGAGGCTCTTGTCCTTCCAGCGGCGCACGACCCGCCTGAGCCGCACGATTTGGCCGATCATGTTTGACTTCTTACCGGCGGAGGCCATTTTTTAGTTTTTTCGATCTTGGGAGAGGGAGACTGTGAAGAGGATGGTGAGTAGTTATGGGGAGTAGAGAATAGAGTGGAGTGGTCTCAGGGAGTTCGGAACAGAATTACCATA